CTATGCAAATTGGATCGACGTTACTGTTTCGACGTTGAAACAACGTTGAAATTAGGTTGCCAATCTCGTCAACCATAATTCAACGTTGAATCCACGTTAAAACAACGTTGAGATTGGTTCACAAATCGACGTCGTACATTTAACCACAAATTCAACGTCTGTTGGCTGCTGTTGAACCAATGTTTGCAAAACAACGTCAGAGCAACGTAGATATTAGGTTGTCGACGTCGCAACCTTTTTCTACCAAATTTCAACGTTGAAACAACGTCGTGTGCCCGGTGGGCGTTTCTTTTAAATTATCCGTTATTTCCTGTACGTGCGCTCACTTCGCTCTTTCAAAACTGCTTCGAATTTAAGAAAAACATTGGGGTTATGTCTTAATGGTGCAGTGCAAGTTAAATTTAGGATATTGAGTTCGTAAAATACTCGCCAAGCAGTCATTGTGTACTTCTCCCAATACGTGGAAACGCTTTATTTTTTGTATATCTCAATATGAAAATTTTGAAATCTTAAAATTTATTCTCTGACAAAAATAACATTAATGGAGTTAGCCATTTACAATGCAAAATGTTGACATAATTTCTTATACTGACCACAGGTCTCTCCATATTTGGTTGGGAGAATAAATGGGAGAAAATGGAGCGAAAGAAAAAACGTCTCGAGGAAGAGAATAAGGAGATCGAATCCGAGGTTGCTCGTTTAAAAAAGTACATCGCAGAGCAACAAAAGGATTTGATCTCGCAAAAACACACCAACTTCGAGCTTCTCAACCAGCTCACAGAATGTGTGGACGTGAACAACCGGAAGATTATGGTTTTGGAAGAGATTTGGAAGAAAGTCGAAGGTTACACGAATATATTAGAAGATCATTTTGTTGAGTTGAAAAATCAAGATTGGCCTGCGCGGGTCTCGCGAGGGTCCGTGAGTCACGATGGAAACTCGCAGGAAGATATTCCACGCGAGATTCTCGAGGGATAGACATTGTGGTTGCGTGTCGTGTATATTATAGATTTAAAGCCAGTTCTATTTATATTAAAGCATATATGTACTCGCTAACCTAAGATTGTGTTGACTACACTGCTTTTATGTTTAATTAGGTTTTCGCCTCTTATATGGGCTCTTCTCGCGACGTTACGACCAACGTCAGTCCCTTCCAAACAGACGCTTCCTTCAAACAAATTATTGTAAAGTTACTTGTCGTGTATTTTCAATCCAGTGAGCTATATAAAGATGGCGGAATTGACGTCCAATAGCTCTCTGAAGGTCGTAAACAGTTTTAAAGCAGTTTTTCCCAGCTAATTCCAGTTTATTTTGCCGGGACTATCGCTAAACAAGTTAAATTATCAGTTTATAAAACCATAGTGTTATTGTTTAAATCCATGTCAAAATACAAAATTTCGATACACGTCGTGTTAACTGGGCAAACAAAAAGGGACTGGAACTGACGTCTCTTCAATTTTCGCCATCTTGGCTTCGCTTTTTAGACTCGATTTCACGCTCGAGATATATATGGAGCTCATAGTCCGTAACATGCTTGAATTACTCTTATTTTGTCAAGCGGATATTTAAGACAAGATAAGCAAAGAACACTAAAGAATGAGATGTGAAAGCAGGTCCCGTGGTGAAGCTCGATAAAAATTCTATTTACAGCACCAGTTCCTCCCGTAGTGAGTTCAAAGTAGTATGGCATTGCACCAGAACGCGATATTTTAGTTTAGTCAAAGCAAAGTTGAAAAATCAGTGCTGGGTTTTAATGGTATCATATTGCCTTCAGAATTGAACAATTGATGTGAACTTTATTTATCATATCCAAAAATGACTTGACCGAATTTCCAAGTATAGCCTACGAGAAGTTTGTATAGTTCAGTCCGCGCCGCAGGCTAGGAGTGGAACTGTATAACTGCATACTAAACTTAACTTCAAATCAGGTAAAAGTAAAGTCTGAGTTTGAAGTTTTGAAACGACATTCTCCCAGATCACTACTGAAAGTCAGCGAGTTAATTTTGATCCAATCCTTAGATTGAATTCATTTCTATACGGTCTTGCGATCGACTTGACACAAAGCAATATGATTGGATAATTGCTCTTGAATTATTAACGACATTTAGATATAAAATGGCAAGACTAGAGAACGCATACTAATACAGAGAACTTGTTTTGGTTTATACATGTATCTTCGGTTCTATTGACTTGAACACCGAACGGTTTATATCTTTTGTGCAATATAATCGATCTCGTTTTCAACTCTTTCAACTATGTTTGAAAAATAGCCTCTTCAAAGACATTTTCCAGCCTAGTTATTTTTAAACGCTTCCTGCACACGACATACTTCAACTTGGTTAAAAATACTTTTATTTAGCGTGAATACGCCATACACTTGGTCGCTCACACGAGATTGCTCCTGTCATCATTCCTAAACTCCATTTTTTTTAAATTTTTTTTTTTTTTTAATTTTTTTCGCCCAATTACATAACAATAAGAAGTAGAATTAAATATTTACAAAATTAGGTATTTACAAAATTTGGGCTAGGAAGCTTCTAGAAACCAAAAGGCTTTTGTTTAAGGTCCCTAGGTAATAATTATATAACTAGCTATATTCATAATCTAACATGCAGTTCGAATGTTGTTTTTTAAAGTCAGGAAACATATTATAATTAATGTACAATACATATTTATTACTGCATAAATATATTTAGGGTGTCTTGCATGGGTCTCCATTTGCCGTTTGTACATTAGCCCCTTTGAGCGTACACCTTGTAATCTGTAATCTTGTGTCCAATAAAGCTGGTAAATAAAATAAAATAAAATGAATTAGAACGTGTTAGGGAGCGAAAATATTTTTGCCACAAGGAGAATGCGACTATAATGAGCATTGCCAGTTTCGAGCATTTCTTTGTTCAAACTTTGTCAATTTATTTACATATAAATCTGACACTCTGTAATCGAGCAACGAAAAATTCATTGGCTAGATCGATACCCGAAGATGCGAGTTCAAATCCCGCTCGAGCCAACGAATTTTTCGTTGCTCGATTGCAGTGTCAGATTAATATGAAACTAGTTTTTCGTATCTCTGAGGATGGTTCTGAAATATTATTTACATATTATCCACGACTTATATTTATAATCGCGCCATCACTTAGAACGTTTCAGGTCGTTTGGGGGTATTTGTGAATTCGCACACTGGCGCTGCTTAAACTGGTTTGAAAAAAAGATAAGTAATTTTATAAGGCAGATCAAACTTAAATACAGTGGATTTACATTTTTTTAAATAAGTTAATATAATTCAAGTTATGTATCAATACTGTATTTAGGATCTCGTCCCGTCGTGTGCACAGTAGTATAACACTATATATACCAGAAGATCCTGTAGAGCGTAGAGAAGGAGAAATATCAATTGCGGAAGATCACAGATAACTGATGGATAAGATCATAATTGGACAAAAGCTATCAGCAACATTCGTGCAGCTGATCAGGTAGAAGGATCAATGCTATAAGAAGATTAAAGTTTTACTGTAAGCATTCCTTTCATTTTATTATTGTTCTATGATTAAACAGTTATTTTGTTTTACCATTTCAATTGTTTTAATTAAATTATACAGGCAAAATTAATAAGTGCCTGTTCAATTAAATTAATACCTACACGACGCTCTTCCGATCTATATCCACACCGGGCGAGCTTGAAAAATATGCCCGGCCACGGTGGGATTCGAACCTACGACCTTTGGAATACTAGCCCAATGCTCTTCCAACTGAGCTACGCGGTCAGGACGGTTCGAGTAAGTGATATTTCGGAACAGAATCTAGTTCCTTCGATACCAATGTATTCTAGTAATATGAATTTTTTTTTTTTTTTCAAGCTCGCCCGGTGTGGATATACACTCAGAGTAACACCACAAATATCATATTCACCTGAGTACACTACACCAACACAGAAAAAAAAATTAAATTAATACCGTTTGCTTCATCGAACTTTCATAATAACGAGGTTGAGGTCCATGCAAACTCTGAAACGAGTTCAAGTATTTGATATAAACTAAGATTTTCTTCGGTTTGATTTGTTTTTCTAGCTTTGTGGCAGAAACCAGGAGATGGCGCAACTTCTGAGATTGGTTATTGTGACTCTGCTTCTCCGTATTAGTATAGCAGCTGATGATCCCATTCCTTTCCCAGGTAATATCTGAGAGTCAACATACTGCGAGGCATTTTTAAATATATATAAAGTACTGGATAATTTATCATAACAAGTGATCCAATTTTTGAGATTTAACATACCGTAATCTTACATGAAGCATCCAGGCCTCAAATCCAAGCTCCCACCCTGTTGAGACCTCCCGACAAACATGTCTGCCGTTATTTACTTAATTTGTTAATGAAGTTTATATTAACTAGCTAGTTATTTTGTTCGTTAAGAACAGGGGTGTAGAAGGGAGGGGGTCCGGCCCCCTTTGTTAGAAGCCCAGGGGCGCTGAGCCCTCCTGAAGCTTCTTGAAAATTTCATGCCGGTTTGGGGGGCTAATTTCCCAATAATTTTGCAGAATGCATATTTATAACCTGGAAAGTTCTTTGCAACTGCAGTGTTGAAATGATGCGGTAATAATGTTAGTAATCTGTATCTGATTACTATGATCATACTGTTAGGTCATGTGTGTGGCTCCAACACGAACTCAGCTTCGGTATATCGGATTCATTTTGAAATTATGTTCTCTCATCAAAAAACACTAATTGAACAATTAGTAGAACCAAAAATAAATACCGGAACTTTCCATGTTAATTATGTTGCACCCTCCACACCTTGTCACAGCCCCCCTCCCGATTGTTATCATTTCAGTTCTATACAGCACTGGTTAAGAGCTGAAGGCGTTTCAAGACAAATATATAATGTTTCGCTCACTCGTGTTTATAATAATTATTATAACTCTCAGTTGTTACAGTACTCTTAATATCTAAATACATAATAATTATTCCCATACTATTATTCCAAAGTAATTCAGTTGTTACTGCTATTTTGGAAACGAGCGATTCAAAAACTTAAGTTATATAATACACCAACTGTGACTTCATTGATATATTGGGTAAAATTACTCAAATTTATAAATATGTTTATTCATTATTTGAATGAAGTAAATCTTCACTCATGACCAGACTAAAGCCTGGTTTACACTATCAAGGTTTCGATCTGTGGTCACAGTAGGAATTTTGCATTGCAAGATTTGAAGGATTCGTAATAAATATTTGAGGAAACTGACTTAGCGTTGTTGCTGAGTCAGTTTGCTCGAACATTTCTTATCAGGGTGTTAGCAGTAGCCCATATACTGTCCGTTTGACGGACTCTTCCCAATTGAAGTAGCTAAGGGGCTTTCCCAACTGGGTCTACTGGAAGATTTTCATTTTTTCTGATGAGAAAGTACATTGCGTTTGATTTTATATCATTATATCAAAGAACGTTTTATTTACATTTTCCATTAACTATTTTCTCAAAATGTATCGCGTTTCATTCATATAGGGTGTGTATTCACTGAAATGAAATGGACAAAACAAAGTGTAATCGGTGTGCATCCATGTTCATTCACCGGAAATGAAATATACAAAACGAAGTGCCATCGGGTGCATTTTTCAGTGTTCATTCACCGGAAATGAAATGTACAAAACCAAGCTACCATCTAAGGAGAAACACGTTGGAAAAAACACTATTTATTCCTACACAAGGTCAAGGACTTTGATCGGTCAAAAAATCTTTCCCAATTTACGTTTAACGGACAAAACCTTTTTTTCTGGCTAACACCCTGCTTACAAATCCTTCAAAACTTAGAATTTACCTGTGCAAATTTCTACTGTGATCACAGAAACTTTGATAGTGCAAACAAGTCTTGACAAGGGAGTTCTCTTTGTTTCCAGGTGGTGATACAAAGTTTCACGAATGGTTAAATCAAGTGTACAAAAGAACCTATATTGACCCTACGACAATGGACAGAGTAAAGGAATACGTCACAAAACGCATCACTCAAATATCAGACCTAATAAAGGCAGAGGGTGACTGTTTCGACTTTGTTCAGCTTCGAGGATCAGCAGCGGAAAATTTGAAGATTGATCATCCGGATGAATTTGATTTTGTTCTTTTTAATCAAAAGTACAAAGATAAAATTACTTTCAACGAAAAACAAAACCTGCCTGGATTTGCGTATGCGATGCGACAAGCTGCAACTTGTTTCGAGAAGTATGTAAAAATCTCTTTTCCACGAGAGTTAGACCATAGTTAAAGATGCGGTACAGTCCGCATGTAAACAGAGGCTTTGTTTACATTTCGGTATCCAAAATATATATAATTTTATTCGACAACTATTTATATTTTCATGATTCTAGAGTATAATAAATTATCAAGATACAACAATCAAGCTTTTCAAGAACATAAAATGAAATAAAAACCTAAATAAACTGTTCGTATAATAAAAAGAGGGCTCCTTTGTGCACATGCGCAGATCAGACTGTACAGCATCTTTAATAGAATAGATGGCTTGGCCTCATTAGAATAACATTATAACTTTTTACTGTGTCTATATGTTAGTCAACGTTTATGCAAAAATGTGGTCCTTTGTTGTCACTTGGGCGCCCCAATCTTTTCCCCACCCCCACCTATAATAAGCCCTCCACTTCAGAACCCAGGGGCCAAAAATGGAGGAAATACTGTATGTCAACTTTCTTTTAATAGGTACCAGCTTACAGATCCTAAAGGTGCCATCGATCCAGTACAAGTTAGAGCTCTCATGAAAAATCTTGTGGTAAAAGCTTTGGACAAACTAGAAATTACAACAACAGTTACAGAAGTCGGACCGGCGATCAATTTTGATATACCGTCCAGAGAAGCGTCCTTCCCAACAATCGATATCGACTTAGTCTTGTACATACAACAAGAAAATTGGCCAGCGACTGCGACTACCCCTCTGAGCCCCGAACTGAGAGTGTTAGGCGTTGGACTTGTTCCAAAGGTACTCGAAGAAGACAACAAAGTGTGGCAAATTTCATTTTCTGCTATTGAAATACAGCTTTTCAAAACCATCGATACAGATGGAGGAATCCGAAGAAAACTGCTGAAAATCATGAAATATTTGAAGTTAGTTACCGAATGGCCTAAAACCGTGTCCTCGTACCACTTGAAAACCATCATAATGAAAACGAATCTGGATCATCCCGACAAAGCTTACTGGACCGATTCCAATCTTGTTACCCGCTTCAGAGAATTGCTTAATGCTTTCCTTAACGCACTGAAAACAAAAACCTTACCAAGTTTTTTTATTCCCACCTTTAACTTATTGAAAGGTAAAGATCTCACGGAGGCTATCCAGAAAGTCGAGAAATTGATTGAAACTATTAAGACGAACCCCAATTCTCTATTCCCACCTCAAAGCGCAATGTGTAATCCGTCGCAGACGTCTTCTTCTGCCAGCAACAACCCACAAAAAAAGAAATTGTTGAAGAAGATGTTAAGAATCCATAGTTAAGTGAACACAATTATTTACAATGATGCAATTAATTATTATTTCTAAGCAATAAAATGCATTTCTCATGCTCTATTTTCATTCATCACATGTGTTATTTTAATTATGAAAGGGTTGATTCAACATGGACCAAAAATTATATCTAGCCCTGATCCTTTTTGTTCATACATCTGCACCTTATTTTCACGGTATTTTCTTCGGATATTGATGGTTTGAAATTAATTCCTTGAGATTTATGAGACAGATATATACCGCGGCCGTATTGGAAGAAAACCCGCTGTAAATACACTCGCTTTTAATGGTATTCTTCTGCTCGCGTTCCTGAAACATGACCGCCATGACGTTAAGCGCACGCCGCCCGCAAGAATAGATTTGCGAGTTTCTTGCAAACTCGATCCCAGTTTCGTAAAATGCTTTCACTCAATCTCGCACACCCAGCCCGCAATCTTCGGCTGCAGGCTAGTTAGTTCTTTGTTAATTTCCTATACCCACTCTCTGACTGTAGTAACCTGCTGTAAATCGCTTAAAATTTAATCTTGTAATTACAAGTAGCAAAATGAACGAGAACTGATAATAATAATAGTGGATGCCCTTTTGCCTGCAAGCTGTCTGCTGTCTCGAGGTATGTCAAGAATATTTGAAATTACAGAGTACTATAGTACTCTGTTAAATTACAGAGTACTATAGTTAGGATATCTTTCCCTGGCGTGAACACACTGGTAGTAGCATTCTACCAGTCCTGCAGAGTGTAGAGTTCGAAAAATTTCAATGGCAGCAGATCACAGATAACTGATGGATAGGATCATCACTAGACAAAAACTATGAAACAAAATCAAGTATTACTTATGTATCTGAAGTCGAAGTTAAAAGAATCGAAGCAATAGAAGATTAAAATTTGTACTGTAAGCAATCCATTTCATTATTTTATTGTACATACACAATTTATTGTACAGGGTCTATTCGATTAAATTAATATCGTTTTCATAATAATGAGAACCATGATTTTAAACTTTGCTTCAGACTACTTCAATCTGATACATTTCAACAATTTCAAACTGATTTGTTTAATTTCCTCTTTCTAGCAGAAATCAGGAAGTGGCGCAGCTTTTGAGATTGGTTATTGCGACTGTGTTTCTCGGTAGTAGTATAGCAACTGATGATTCCATCCCTTTCCCAGGTAATTTTGAGATTCAACCTACCGCGAGGCATTTTTGTTAACTGTAATGAAGGGATAAATGGGAACTGGTATTTGCCTATTTTTTGACTGGGAAAATAGAATTTGCGTTGCTGGGACTGGGAAGGAAAGACATAAAAATGGGAAAAACCAAATGCCATTATAAAGACAGTTGTAGTAGGACATTTCAGAGTGAAATAACTTGAAGAACTGCTACAGAGAAATTTTTGATAGAGCACTTGTCTTAAAAAAATAGTTCAGGAAAATTGAATTTAACTGGCCGACTTATGGTTCAATGAATGTGGTTCTATTGCACGGCAGTCGTATACCTTTTTCTCGACAAAACTAGTTCTAAAGAGGGCAATTGAACGCAGAATTGTGTTTGAAAGTCATCAAATAGATGAACCACTGCTCAGGAATTTTCTTTAAATTTCATAAATTTTTCTTACAGGTGGGGATACAAAGTTTCACGAATGGTTAAATCAAATATACACACGAACCCAAATCGACCCCAAGACTATGGTCAGAGTGAAAACCTACGTCACAAAACGAATCACCGAGATAACAGACATCATGAAGGATGCTGATAACTGTTTTGACCTTGTTCAACTCCGAGGATCGGCTGAGGAAGATTCGAAGGTTTATCATCCAGATGAATTTGATTTTGTGCTTTACAATCAAAAATGGAAGGATAAAATTGTTTTCAACGAAAAACAGAGCCTTCCTGGATTTG